GGTTCCCTTTCCTCCACATCCTCACCAGCACTTGTCGTTTGCTGATGTATTGATGGTAGCCATTCTGATAGGTGTGAGATGATACTTAATTGTGGTTTTAATTTGCATCTCTCTGATGATCAGTGACTTTGAGCATGTTTTCATATATCTCTTGGCCATCTGTATGTCCGCTTTCGAGAAATGTCTATTTAGGCCCTTTGTCTATTTTTTGATTGGATTGTGTATCTTCCTTTTGTTAAGTTGTATGAGTTCCCTATAAATTTTGGAGGTTAAGTCCTTATCAAATGTAACATTGGCAAATATGTTCTTCCATGCAGTGGGATCTTTGGCAAAAAAAAAAAAAAAAAAAAAAAAAAAAAAAAAAAAAAAAAAAAAATTTGTAAAAATTATTTGCCAGGGTGAGCTTTATACAATGGAATCAGGTTTGAAAACGTGAACTGTGTAATTTCTAGTGGTTTTCAAGAAAGGATGAGCATCAACATTTTGGTTAATTATGACCCTGCATTAATACGTAGGAGGATATATCCTCCCTAAGTATCTTCACGGCAGTTTTTAAGACTTAATCTTGGCTGCATGGATAAGAGAGATTGTTCCCTAATCAAATAACCATCTGTCCCCACAGTGTCAATGGACAGCTGCGGGAATAAGGTGGCATCTGAGGAGGATCCTACAAAAATAATTTTATGGTATTCGACCGTGGGGTCCTCACTCCTGTGGGGAGCACAGGATGGCCCAGGCATTTGGAACACAAACAGAGCTGCCTTTACCATGCCTCCAACTACATAACTCTGACGGCCTATTCTGTGACTCTACACAACTGATAATGTGAGATTTCTTCATGTAAACGCAACTCCCGCTCACACCTGTTTCTTTTATTGCTATTTAAGTTCTGAGGCCCTTTCCTCTAGGCTACTACCACTCCTGGTGCTCAGTGGAAGCAGGTGCCCGGGTGGCTTGCTCTCCATTGAACCCCAGTGGTTAGCAAAGAGCTGACACACCTGCTGAATAACCAGAGCACCTGGTGTCATCATGGTCTCTAAAACAGTGCTGCCCACAGATGCACAGTGTGAGCCACGAATGTTCTCAAAACTTTCTTAGTTTCCATGTTAAGAAAGTAAAAGAGATAAATGCTAAATTAATTTTAGTAATAATTCTACTTCACCCAACATAAATATGATTTGCCATTTTCACATATAATCATGTAAAATTTTTAATTAGACATTTTATTGTTATTTCCTCTTGTCCTCAGAACTCAACATGCATTTTATAGTAACAATACACCTCGATTCAGACTCTAAATTTTCTGTTGAAGCAGTTGGTAGGCAAACAGTTGAAAAGTTGATTCACATACCCAAGTTCTCCCAGAGATATTTAAACGTTTTTAAGCAAGTGAATTAAGGACACAGACCGTAGTGTGGTGAAGGCTTGGGGAGGGGGTGGGAGTGGGGAGGAGGGGTCAATGGGGAAAAGAGGACATCTGAAATACTATCAATGATAAAGATACATTTTTAAAAATTAAAAAAGAAAAAAATTAAAAAGGAGTGTTTCTTAAATTTTAATTAAAATGAAGGAAAATTAAATACTTGGTTTCTCAGTCACATTAGCCCATGTCAAGTATTCAGTACTGACCAGCTGGTAATGTTGAACAGTCCCTCTCTAAATACTGCAGCATTTACATTGTAGTATTACAATACATGTGACATATATTCACATGTGACAATCATTGAAGTGTTACAATACATCTGATGTATATTCACATGTGACAATCATTTGAAGATCTGACTGAAGTGATTTGTTACTAAAAGTAAAGCATCAACATATATTTTGAAAAGTAAGCCATTATTCTCAGACTAAGATAAAATATTTGAAAAAAAATAAAGGATATTACCCAAAACATACAATGAAATAACTCAACAATAAGAGTAGCAAACAAGTGTGGTGATCACAGTCAGCAACAATATTGTGCTGAAATCATCAATTTGCCGAGAGACTAAGAACCTAATGGTTCTAATCACTAACAAGGAAGGATAATTATATAATGTGATAGAGGTGATAATAATTATCACGACAATACATAACTGCATCAAATTAACATGTTGTATACCTTAAAGTTGTACAATGCTATCTGTCAAATATATTTTAATTTTTAAAACCTCAACTATAATAAAGCAAACCACCCAATTAAAAAATGGACCAAAGACCTAAACAGACACATCACCAAAGAAGACATCATGTGAAAAGATGCTCCCCATCCTGTGGCACCAGGAGACGCGGAGTAAAACACACAGAGACCACTGCCACAGTCATGGTGGAAATGCAGAACTCTGACAGCACCCAGTGCTGGTGAGGGTGTGGCCATGCCAATTCCCCTCAGTGCCCAGAATCCACACGGTGCAGCACCCTGGCAGACAGTCTGCTGGTTTCTTTCAAACCTAAACATACTCTTACCCACTGTCCCGCTACCATGCTTCTTGGTATCTCTCAAAGGAGCGCACAGCTCACAGCCACATGAAGACCCGCACAGGGCGCCTGCGGCAACTCTGCTCATAACTGCCAGGTCTTGGAAGCAACCAAGGTGTCCTTCAGCAGGCGGGTGGGCAAACTGGTCCCATCCACAATGGCATGTCACTCAGCGCTGAAAAGAAATGAGCTGCCCCGGCTGAAAAGACACGGAGGAACCCGGAATGCATATTGGTAAGCAGAAGAAGCCCATCTGAAAAGACTGCACACAGTGTGATTCCAACTCTATGGCATTCTGGAAAAGGCCGAACTTCGAGACATAAAAATCGCGATGGTGGCGGGGTGAATGCGGGGAGGCAGAGCACAGAGGATGTTTAGGATAGTGACACGACTCCGTATGACACTATAGTGACGGCATTTGTCCAGAGCCATCGGATGTACACCAAAAGTGGACCCGAAGGGAAACTCTGGGCATTGTGTGATTATGATGTATCAGTGTAGACTCATCCTTGGTTTAAAAAAAAAAAAAAAAAAAAAAAAAAAGAGAGAGAGAGAGAGAGAGAGAGAGAGAGAGAGAGAGAGAGAGAGACAGAGAGAAAGGAGCCGAAACTGGTTTGGCTCAGTGGTAGAGCATCGGCCTGCGGACTGAAAGGTCCCAGGTTCGATTCCGGTCAAGGGCATATACGTTAGTTGCGGCCACATCCCCGGTAGGGGGTGTGCAAGAGGCTGCTGGTCGATGTTTCTCTCATCGACGTTTCTAGCTCTCTATCTCTCTCCCTTCCTCTCTGTGAAAAATCAATAAAATATATTTAAAGAGAGAGAGAGAGAGAGAGAAAGAGAGAGAGAGAGAGAGAGAGAGAGAGAGAAAAGGAAGAGTGCTTTGCTGAGTGATGTTGATGACGGGGCGGGGGGGGGGGGAGGGGGTGTACACAGGTGTGTAGGGATGGTAGGGATGGGAAATCTCTGTACCTTCCTCTCAATTTTATTGTAGCTCTCAAACTTCTCTAAAAATAGTTTTAGCTGAAACCGGTTTGGCTTAGTGGTTAGAGCGTTGGCCTGCAGACTGAAAGGTCCCAGGTTTGATTCTGGTCAAGGGCATGTACCTTGGTTGCGGGCACATTCCCAGTGCGGGGTGTGCAGGTCGCAGCTGATCGATGTTTCTCTCTCATCGATGTTTCTGACTCTCTATCCCTCTACTTTCCTCTGTAAAAAAAAAAAAATCAATAAAATATATTAAAAAAATAAAAATAGTTTTAAAAGCAAAACAACACAAAACCAAAGACAAAACAGTTATTAACGTAGAGCATCACACAGTTATCTCTGCACTCAGATTGGCCATTTTCATTTATTTGTCCCGTGGGGAACAGAGGCATTGATCATAGCAAGCTGTCCCGGGGTGGGCATTGCCCGCAGTTCTGGGACGAGCATGATCTCTGTACAGACTATAAACGCAACAGTCAAACATTGCCCTGTGCTCTCCGTCCCAAGCATTGCGGGGAGCCCTCAGGCTGCTGACCTGGTCTGAGGACCGTGTGCAGGTGTCAGGTGGCGGCGGAGAGTACAGGGTGGCGGGCAGAACTGAAAGCGTTTCTACTCCAGAAGAGCCATCTCCCGGTGACTCTGTGAAAGAAGGAATGCGGTTTTGGTGGTTTCTGACCAGACCACTTGTGGTCATTTTAAGTGACATTTGTTAGGTCAGGATAAATCTGGAGTTCATAATGTAATTTAAGAAATGAATAAAATTTCTCAGTGAGAGGAGGATGTTTTGGATGGGGGCCTATTTTTTAAGGAGTTTCTGGAAGTTGGTCAAATATATGTGGGATAAAAGAGGGAGGCTAAGTTATTAGGGGGTGAAAGAGGGAGACTAAATCACTATCAGTTAATCCTACATCCAAATTCCCAGTGGGTTCACTGAAGTTACTTTTTCCTTTTTTATTCATGCAAAACCTTTTAAATGAGAAACCTGGGGAACTGCAAAATGCCATTACTTACTTCGTTTTAATTGCCAGCTGCTTCCTGAGAGCACTGTTCCAAAGAGCCTTTCCGATGACTTAAAAATCCCCAAGGCAAATTTTGTGTTCCTCAATTCAAAATAGGCACTTAATTGTAATTTTGATAGGAACTCCAGAAAAAGGGGTCAGAGTTCACCCTGAGATAATTACCTGGCTGTGCTCTCCACTGGGATAAATGCGTCTGGAAATAATAGGGGGAAACACAATGCATCGAGGATTAAAACCTTCAAAACAGGCATGTTTGACAGATTCCGCCAGCGGTTAAAAATAATCTGTACTCCCAGTCCAGTGACCGTTTGCCAGGGAGAGCCAAAGTTGAGAAATTTCTGTGAGGAACATGACTCAGAGAGGAAAATGCAGAGTCTGGCAGAGAAGGAAATGGTCCGACATCATTCCCAATTGGTCCTTCCTCCGGTCACGTGCTCTGGGCATCTTTAAAAGGGAGTCCCCGGACTCGGACGGACACAGCACGTCCCAAGGGCAGCAGCTTCTTCCCACCTGGCAGAGGAGTCCCGGACAGCTCTCAAGATGTGTGACGCCTTCGTAGGTACCTGGAAGATGGTCTCCAGTGAGAACTTCGATGATTACATGAAGGAAGTGGGTAAGCGAGCACGTGGCGGGGGGCTGCACGCAAGCCCCTTTCTCCGGGCCAGAGGGGCCTGCGGCTGTGTCCACTCTGGAAGCACTGGCCGATATGGAAGGCTGCTCTCTCTCCGGTACAAAAACAGCGCGTGAGACCATTTGCTGGTAGAGACATTGTAGACCGAAGTCACAGTGACAGGTGAACCAAGATGGGAAAAAGGTCTAAAAGGAATTTTTATGGGCACAGAAAAGATTTCATCTGATTGCTAACTGCGGGCACCTTTGGTTTACTTGGCTCTTTGCCTGCTTGTCTTTCATTCCTTCTTGCACAGAAAAAGGAGCAATGGCCCGGCTGGGGTGGCTCAATGTTTGAGCCTCAACCCATGCGCCAGGAGGTTGCCGGTTTGACTCCCAGTCAGGGCACATGCCTGGGTTTGGGGCTCGGTCCCCAGTAGGGGGTGTGCAGGAGGCAGCCAATTAATGATTCTCTCTCATCATTGATGTTTCTAACTTTCCTTCCTTTCAATTTAAATGTAGACAGTAAAAGTGTAAAAGACAGTAAAACTCAAAACCAATAAAAACATTAAAAAGGAGAAATAACTTGGAAATACAACCATATTTATTTCCTAACAAGCAGTAATGCCCTTTGACACTGTATTTCTCATATTCATATAATTTTAAAAGTAGACTTATGTTAACCAATTACTTTATTGTCTTAATATCAATCCATTAACATGTGTGGGGTTTTGTGGGGGGTAAAATATTTTTTGTTGTTGAATTTATTGAGGTGACATTGGTTAATAAAGCTATGTAGGTTTCAGGTATACAATTCTATATACATCATCTGTATATTGTATTGTGTGTTTATCACCCCGAGTCCCATCTCCTTCCATCATTATTTGTTTCCCCTTAATACTCTTCTACCTGCCCCCCCCCTTCCCTTTGGTAGTCCCCTACTGTGTCTATGAGGTTGTTGATTTTTGTTTGTTTGTTTTGCTTAATCCCTTCACCTTTCCCACCCAGCCCCTTTCCCCTAAAAGTCTTAATTTTAGAGAGTGTGTTCCTTAACAGGCTGAAGTATTTCTGTGACTAGCAAATCCACGGGATGCCACAGAATTCCTGATCCTTGAGAAGGAGAATGTTACACACATAACATCCCTTCTCCTTGAGAATGGAGCTCCTGGGTCTTTAGATTCCGCTAGGGTTGTCGGTGTGCCACCTGAAGGTCCAGGCAATGAGGGAGCAGAGCAAGGTTGTAAGGAGGCGGGGCTCACCCCCAGGAGTGGGTGTGCAGGAGGCAGGACCAATGCTTCTCTTAGTTTGAGAGCTCCACCCACCCGAGCATGACCAAATCCTGCCCCGGGGTGAATCGGGAAGGACGTTCACTCAGTGATTTATTAGGGGTTAGAATTTATTCCCTAAACCTCAACTTTAACCTCCCCCTTCTGCCCCCCAAGGCACACAGCATGTTTTGTTGCTTCTCTATAACCACCATTTTCCTTGTTTATAGTGAAAGCAGGAAGGACTTCAACATGAGTGAGACCTAACTTTCCAGAATATCAATTAATTTTTATTCCACACACTAATAGGTGCTGATATGGAAATGCCAGGATTTGAGGCTATTTAGCTATTGATTTTTAGAAACATTTTACACTTTTACTGTCTATATTTAAATTGATAAAATTCTGGTGATGAGACAATAAGATGCCGCCTAAATTAGCTGCTCTGGTTGATGGTCAGTCAACAGGACGGAAGCAGGCAGGTGGAGAAGGCTGGCTTCCCTGGAGCCACCTGGCCTGGAGCCACTGGAACACCCAGTATCTGATTTCTATTTGTAATTTACTGCCGAGCAGACCAGTCTACAGCCAGACTCGGAGAAGCAGCCTCGCAGCTCCCACCTGTGGCACATCTGCAGCAGGGAGATCAATCAGAGCCTCAGCACCCGCTGTTCTGTTCGCGATTTCTCTCCCTGGTTCCCATTTCCAACCTGTGGTGTCTGTGACATCAGGAGCTGAGACTTCTGTGCATGTGTTTATTTATTTATTTAATTTAAAAATATATATATTTTATTGTTTTTTTACAGAGAAGAAGGAGAGGAATAGAGAGCTAGAAACATCGATGAAAGAGAGACATCGAGAATCGATCAGCTGCCTCCTGCACACCCCCTACCAGGGATGTGCCTGCAACCAATGTACATGCCCTTGACTGGAATCAAACCTGGGACCTTTCAGTCCGCAGACCAATGCTCTACTACTGAGCCAAACTGGTTTTGGCCCTGTGCACGTGTTTAAAGGAACCCAACACACACAGAGAGACCCTGACTGCTGGTCTGCTCGGCAGTAAATTGTCATTCCATCCTCTTAGCAAGAAAAGTAGGTTCCGCTTAAGGAAAAAGAGAAATTTGTAATGCAGGTGATTGGCAAGCAAAACATCGATTACCAAACTCAACTGGAACGCTGGCTTCTTGAATGTTGAAATGTCAGTCACTGTGAGGCCCTCTTTAACCTGCCTGCATGGGTGGGGCCACATCTCCATTCTAATGTGACCTGAATGGAGGGGACAGTTTGCCTTTGGGGGATCCATCCGAACCTCATCAGCTGGTGGGGTGGTGTGAGAGAGACGGGGCAGCAGACGCTGTGAGATGTTATCTCTGGACACCTAAGGGGATGGCATTTTTTAACTGAGTGACCCTAATGGCCCGTATCCCCGTGGGGATTCTGTCTTGGACTGCGTACCAGGTCATGTTTACTTAAGAAAACAAGGTCACAGTGCCCAGGGTGTATTGTATGGAGGGAAGGCCAGGGGCTGGCTGAGGGCAGTGACTGGAAGACACCACATCCCCAAGGCGCATTCTGGTGGGAAAGGGACAGCGGTCTCCTGGGGGCTGCCTCTGAACAGAGGGGAGACGTAAGGGACAAACCTGCAGCTAGTGTGCTGTGTGCGTGTCCATGAAGAGTCTCCTCGTGACTTCCCTGCAGCAGCTGTTTGAATGAGGCGATTGGACAGTCACCATGTCCCCCTCCTGCACACACCCCCCACTCACGTGCGTGCACCACCCTAGCCACACGCAGCTCTTTCTTAACAACGCGCCAGGACGCTGTAAACCTGCCCTCTCCTCCCCCCGCAGGAGTGGGCTTTGCCACCAGGAAGGTGGCCGGCATGGCCAAGCCCAACATGACCATCAGCGTCAACGGGGATGTGATCACCATTAAATCGGAAAGCACCTTTAAGAACACGGAGATCTCCTTCAAGCTGGGCCAGGAGTTTGACGAAGTCACTGCAGATGACAGAAAGGTCAAGGTGAGGAGGGAGGGGCTTGAGTGGAGGGAAAACCTATTTTCAATGACCAGCCAATGCCCTGAATGGCCCGTGAGAGGGGAGACCGCCCCCCCATGGGCAGGAGCCCCCTGACTCCCGCCCTCTGAACTTTGTTGCCTTTGATATTTAATTGGTGGCTTTCACTTCTTCTTAGAAAGTTGTCCTTATTATTTTAAGAAACAATTAATAATCTTTTGTCATTTGATGTATATAGTATTTGAAGTGGATAAAATAACATAATGTTAGGGAATTTTACAAAGCGTTTCCAAATTACTTAGGATACTATCATCTCAACGTAGATTTATGATCTATATTCTTTCACAGCATTTTTCGAATGCATGTTTGTAGGACGTTCTGATAACAGCATATGTTTTTATTTTGACATTCATTTAATTTCCTGTGGCAACCTATTCCCATAATTAAGAGTTTCGAATGACCTCCAGGACGCCGCCCACAAGGCGGCGGGTTCTCTGTGCTTTCCCTGCGAGTAACAGCCCCCCCGCACCCCCACTTTCTGTTCACCCAGAGCCTCATCACCTTGGATGGGGGCGCCCTCGTGCAGGTGCAGAAGTGGGATGGGAAGTCAACCACCATCAAGAGGAAGCGAGTGGATGACAAACTCGTGGTGGTGAGTATGTTCTCGCCACCAGACCCCTGCAGGCCATCTCCAGCCACCATTCCGCCCAGACACACGGGTAACCGCTGCTGCTTCTGGGGCACCAGCAGTGACTCCATTGCCTTTGTGCCTGCGGCTCAGCCTGGCATGCTCTCCCCGGGAAGCACGGCCTGACTCTGAGCACGCACCACGCACTTCTGCTGTCTCCCTCACCCCCATCCAGATTGTGAGGCCACTTAAGGGGGAAACAGTATCTTCTTGGTCTTACTATCTCCCTAATATACTACATCGGTACATGTGGGGACAAATAGCTGTCCTAACCCTGGGGGAGACCATAAGCAAAGGGACGCGCTGACCACGAATGTGTTTGTGTGTCTAGGAGTGTATCATGAAAGGAGTCACTTCCACCAGAGTTTACGAGAGAGCGTGAACAGAGGAACAGGACCTGGACGGACGTTTGCACTGAGCTCGGTGACATCCTGCTGGATATAGTGTCCAAACGTATATTGTAATCGTCCACCAATTAGCAAGCAACTAACTTCCCCCAATCAGAATTCATTCAATGTGGTTGCATTGGTTAAATAAAACATTTTAGAGTTAGAAGGTGATGTCATGATTTCTTCATTATGCCAGAGAATTCTTCTAACGCAGCGCAAGAAATAGGAAATTGAACCATTGTTTTGTTTCTGGTGTAAGCAATATGGTTTTTCATAATAATCCAAGGGAGAACATAGAATATTCATGAATTTCCCATGTCTTGTTAGAAATGGATACACATGCTATTATGAAATATGAAGTTCTTCTGTAGTGTGTCTTCAGTCAGGTCACTCTCACAGTGCAGAGACCAAAGGCAGTTTGAAAAGTGCAGCAGTCCCCTCTTCTCCATGGGATACCTGCCTGACACCATAGAGTACTAACTCCACACATGCCATGATTTCTCTATACACCCATAACTATGGCAAAGTTTAATTTATAAACTAGGCACAGTAAGATATTAACACAAGTAATCTTACCTAATAAAAGAGAAACATGCAAATTAACCATCATCTCACTACGCCCACAGCCAATCAGAGTGAGTATGCAAATTAACCCAACAAAGATGGAGGTAATTTGCATATGCAGGCACAGAGCAGTGTAAAGCCTGCTATGAGGGGAAGGAGGGCGGTGGAGGGAGCTACTGGAGTAGTGCCCCAGACAGACGTGAGGACATGCTGGCTCCTGGGCAGCCGGGAGTGGGGACTTGCTGGTTCCTGGCAGCTGGGAGTGAAGGGGCCTATTCTTGCACGAATATCATGCAATGGGCCTCTAGTAATAAATATGTAGAACAATTATAATAATACACTTACTACAAGTTTTGTGACTGTGGCATCACTAAGTAAAAGAAGTCTTATTTGGATGCAAGCACCACCACACTGGGATCCTTGATCTGACATCCAGGATGCTGCCGAGTGGCTAGCAGGTGGGAAGACGCTGGACAGAGAGGTGAGTCACGTCCCACGCGGGACAGAGAAGGACAGGGCGAGTGTCATCGCGCTCCTCAGAACAGCATGCAGCTTAAAAGTGATGAGTTGCTTATTTCTGGAATTTCCCATTTATATTCTCCTGCCTCAGTTGGCCTTGGATAGCTGAAACTGTGGAAAGTGAAATCGTGGTTCAGGATGTGACACACACCACTAGGAGATTTTGTGGGTTCAGTTTTAGACCACCTCTGAGATAAAACAAGTTACATGAAATTTTGGGTTTCCCAGGGCAAATAAAAGTTATGCTTCCACTATTAAGTGCGTAATGTCATTATGTCTAAAACAATGCACACACCTTAATTAAAAAGTTCTTTAGTGCTAAAAAACGCTAACCATGATCTGGGCCTTCAGCGAGTTGTCATCTTATTGCTGGTGCAGGGTCTTGTCCTAGTCATATCAGAGATCACTGACCACAGGTCTTAAGAAATCTATATAATAAAAGCCTAATATGCAAAGGGTGGAATGACCAGTCACTATGACATGTACTGGCCACCAGGGGCAGGTGCTCAATGCAGGAGCTTCCCCCAGCCTGCAGGCCCCAGGCCAGCCAATTGCCCTGCTGGTCACCCCACAGATCAGCCCTGAATACCAGCCAGGCCTAGGGGCTATACCTATGTAAGACTTTCATGCACCAGCCTCTAGTAGACTAATAAGAATAAAAAAGTTTGAAATATTGTGAGAATTGTTAAAGTGTGACCCAGAGACATGACGCGAGCAAATGCTGTTGGACAAATGGTGTCCATAGACTTGGCCAACACAAGGTGACCACAAACTCTCCATTCATAAAAAAAAAAAAAAATGCACAGTGTTTGCGAAGTGCAACAAAACCAGGGAAGTCTGGTTCACAGCCTGCTGGCTCGGGCGTGGTCACTCACACCTGCCTGTCCTGGAGGTCACAGCCTGCTGGTCTGGGCGTGGTCACTCACACCTGCCTGTGGTGGAGGTCACAGTCTGCTGGCCCGGGCATGGTCACTCGCAGCTGCCTGTCCTGGAGGTCACAGCCTGCTGGCTCGGGTGTGTTCACTCACACCTGCCTGTCTTGGAGGTCACAGCCTGCTGGCCCGGGCGTGGTCACTCACACCTGCCTGTCCTGGAGGTCACAGCCTGCTGGCCCGGTACAGTCACTCACACCTGCCTGTCCTGGAGGTCACAGCCTGCTGTCCTAGTGCCCTTACCTGCCTGTCCTGGAGCAAGGAGAGAGAGAAGTAGAGTCATGATGCAGGTCGTAGGAAAAGGTTCTAGGCTGCCATTTTTAACCTGGAAAGTTATTGGTAAGCCAAGCTATCTCTGGAGTCTCTCAAGAATGAGTGTCTGGGTTGCGGCCGCAGACTCTCCATGATCCTGAGACGCTGAGGGAAACGGAGGGAGGCTGTGAAGCCCTCTCCTGGCCGAGGACCACAATGAAGGGCCCGTCACACAGGCAGGCCCGGGGGCGCAGATAATCCCACAATAGTCATTCTGGAACCCACACAGCAGCCTGAAACGAGTAACGATGCAAATGTCCTCACAGTGGTTCCAGGTTTTCCTCACCCTGGAACTGTTTATTCAAATAAAATATTAAATATATTCTGGAATTCTTTATTCAAATAAAATCTGCATAAAATTCCAACATATAACGCAGACAAAGTGCTAACGAGGCTTTTCAGGCAGGGTGTGAGTCCCTCCTCTGCCCTGCGGGCTCTGAGGCCTCTCTCCCGAGCACCGGACGACCATGTACCTAGAATGGCATTTCTAAACTGTATAGGAAGCCAGCATCTGCTAAACTGTGTGCTGCAGGTGATATAGTCGTGTTTCTGATACTTCCTTTAAAAACATGCTCATTATTTTCTGAACAGCTAGCCTGTGTACTGTATAACACCAGCATATGAGGAGGCCAGGGGATCCGTTGCTGATCAGAAGATTTGAGCTAAAATGCAGCAGCAGTCCAAGGGTGTGCAGACAGAGAACGGATAAGCATAATGCGGCCTATTCATTCAATGCAATAGTATTCAGCATCAAAGGAAGCTCTGAGCTGTGCTACGTGACTGAGCCTTGAGGACGTGCTGAGCGAAACCAGCCAGTCGCACCAACAACATGTCCCCACCGGGTGCTGTACAACCTGTACAATCCTCTCACACGAGTTCTTCCAAGAGTCAGCATCACAGAGACGGGCTGTGGAACAGTGGTTGTCGGGGCTGGGGGAGAGGAAGACAGCGGAGTTATGGTTTAATGGGGACAGGGTTTCTGTCTTGCAAGATGAAAAGCTCTGGAGATGGATGTTAGGGGTGGATGTGGGACAACATGGATGTATTTAATACACTGAACTGCATTGGTTAAGACAGTGAACTTTATGTTATGTGTATTTTATCACTATAACAAAATTAGAAAAAATATGGCATGGTTAAAAAAATATATGTACAGCAACAAATTACCAGGCATATCTCTGGTATGCTCAGCTTCACAGTGTGTGTCACCAATGGAGAAAGTAGCATCTCAAAATTAAAATTTATTAAAACTGCTTAGTACCTAAAATGTCATGAGAAAGTTTATATAGACAACGAGATATTGGAGAAGCATATAAAGTGAGATAATGAAGAAATAAGCATTGAAATGATCATGGAAATAGGACATGTATCTGTTCTATAACAAATTAGTGTATTCTAGCTCCTTTATTAGTATTAACAATTAAGAACATTCAAACTTGAACTATTTTTACTTGAGGAAATGGTTTGGTTTTGGTTTGTTTTTATGCTCAAAGGTGCCAAAGGCAGGGATAGGGGGTTGGGGTGGAGGCTAGGGGGGCAGCACGAACAGAACTGTCTGGGTTGAGGCTGCAGACATTGCAAGATCCTACACAGGCAGGCCAGGTGGGAGCAGTGCATTCAAACCTTACCCCTGGTCACTGCCGGAGAGACTCAGGTCAGCAAGGAGAGAAACTCAGTGAAAAAGAAGTAAACGTGCGGTGCCGAGAGGCTGCATGGCTTTGAGAGTCCAGATTCATGATTCCAGGGAAGCTGTTTACAAAGGCACATCAATGACCAAGGCTTGAGGTACAAGTTACAAAATCTCCTACACAAAACTCGTGAAAGATTAATGGAACTTATTAGTCAGACGATCAGAATTTCAGAAACGAAGTGGCCCGCTCCTCCCGCTTTGCTCTCTGCCATCCTGTCTCCATGTAACTTTGGAGTCGGTAACGTAAGACCACCCCTCAGGCTCTCTCAGGGGGTAAAGACGTCCCAAAGAAGCCGGAATCTGATTTTCCCATTGGTCTCATGGGCCTTATGGGCTCTAAAAGGGGCCACCACATTGCTTTCTGGACCCATCAATGGCAAGGGGGCTGGAGAAAGGGTGGTTCCACTAATGGGAGCCCTTGTCCCACTCGCCCCCTGGCAAACACGAGTGACCATGTAGGTCTGCTGTCTTCCAGAGAGATGCGTGCACACCTAGAACCGGTTAGGCAAGATCTTCATTAGAGCATCACCTCTGAGGACTCTGTCAGCTGGGAAAGCACTTAATCTTGAGCCCGTGTCCTGGTTTCCTGAAATCAACTCTAGGATTGTTTGGGGGGTTTTTTTGTTTGTTTGTTTGTTTGTTTAAATATATATATATATTTTATTGGTCTTTTACAGAGAAGAAGAGAGAGGGATAGAGAAAAACATTAATGAGAGAGAGTCATCAATCAGCTGCCTCCTGCACACTCTCCAATGGGGATGTGCCACAACCAAGGTACATGCCCTTGACCGGAATCGAACCCGGGACCTTTCAGTCCGCAAGCCAATCAAACCCGGGACCTTTATATCCACTGAGCCAAACTGGTTTCGGGCTCAACTCTAGGGTTTTGCTTCCCATTTTACCCTCCATATACTTTAGTAACTATTCCGCCCATGAATAAATTGCATTATAAATTTCCTCTTTATATGTGTTCATCAAAATAAATTTTTTAGACTGTGGTGCCAACCTTTAAAAAAAATTTCCGCCCCCCATAAAGAGATGGTTTGAGTAAATACTTCTTTGAAGAATATTTAACACTAAGAGGCCCAGTGTATGAAATTCGTGCACAGAACCAGCGGGGTTGTGGGGGGGGGGGGGGGGACACACTTCCCTCAGTCCAGCCTGAACCCTCTCCAATCAGGCACCCCTTGAGGAATGCCCAACTGCTGGTTTAGGCCCAATCTCACAATCTGGGACCTCTGGCTCCTCACTGCTCACCTGTGTGCCAGCCTGATTGCCTCCCAACTGCTCCTCTGTTGGCTTGGTTGCCCCCCAACTTCACCCCTGCCAGCCTAGTCACCCCACAACTGTCCTCCTGCTGGCCTAGCCACCCCCAACTGTGCCCCTGCTGGCCTGACCATCCCCAAATGTCCGTCCCCCCCATTGGCTTAACCACCCCAACTGCCCCCTTGTCAGCCTGGTCATCCCCTAACTATCCAGAAGGAAGTCAGATGGCCGGGAGATGTTCAGTCACCCAGTTTAATTAGCATATTACCCTTTTATTAGTATAGATAAGTGGTATCATACATATGTGGCCTCCTATATCTGGCTTTTTCCACTGGCATAATGTTTTCAAGACTTATCCACATTGTAGCATGAATAAGTACTTCATTCCTTTTTATAGCTGAACTAGAGGCCCAGTGCATGAAATTCGTGCATGAGGGGGAAGGATCCCTCAGCCTGGCCTGCAATGACATAAACAGTCTGTGCCCACCTGGCCAGAGGCCAGGCTCATGAATTTCAAACCGATTCATTTGCCAACTCAAAAACCATGGCTATAATTTCAACTGCTATCTGATTTTAATTCTCCTGAGTATTTACATATTTTCTTCTCTGATCCCTCCCAAAACTAATCCTAGAGTTTTGAGAATCTGGGAACTTGGGCAAAGAAATCTGAAATCTGAAATCTTAGTTCATTACCTCAACCAACACCAACAGTGCCTTTTTGTTTGTATTGGCCCAACTCAAATGATCAGATCATGTGAATCAAAAAGCACAAAATACAGGTGTCCTTACCGACTGTGAAAAGTCCAAAGTATAAATAAGTGTGCTCTTTCTTGGTGGCAGTGTCATTTACTCTATGCTTAAAAGTTTGCATTTCCTTAAGCCTCTCTCTTTGTCATATAGGCACACATGGTTGCATCATACTCAGTGCCATCTTTGTTGGGTTAATTTGCATACTCACTTCTGATTGGCTGGTGGGAGTCATGAAGGTACAGTCAATTTGCATCTTTCTTTTTTATTAGTGTAGATATACCTGCAAGGTCCACCTCCATTATCTGGGTTGCAGAAGATGCTTTTAGACACATTGCATAAAGATTTAAATAATGGGTTCCTTGGTCTTTAGAATGCATGTATCCAAATACTGTATTTCTCCAGAAAACTTTCCCTCACAATTTCAAGTGGTATATTTTAACACTGACCTTACTTTGTAAGCCTAAAAAATGAATTTTCCAAGCATTAGCTCTACCTCTCTTTCTGAGCTTAAACCACAGAACATTAATCAATGATAATTGTTACTTTTCTTTCCAGTCCACAATTACTCTTGATAAAGAACAATGATAATATTAATAATAACTCACACCTTACTCCAAGCAAGTGTAGGTATTTCAGTTACATTAACTGCTATCAGTTCATCAACATTAAAGGAAGGGAGTGGAAGATACTATTTTAATGAAGAGAGTTCTCAGGCAATGTACAAACAAAAAACTCCTGAGGTGCAGCCAAGCAAGGGTGTCCTTGTACCAAGTGGGAAACACCTCAGCCAGGTGCTCCTTAGTCATCGCCAGGAGAGTCTTTCAGAGTTGACTAGGGACTCATTCAAAATGCAGATCTCTATTTGATTGTTTTCATTCCACAAGCTATACACATCAGGTGACCTGGCATATAAATCTCTTTGCTAGACGCTATAATTGTTGACCTAAATTCAACTTACATGTTAATTTTCTGCACTTTAATTTGGAGGTAGATAAAATGAGCCTATGCCAGTGCCTGATCTTGCTGCTGCCCATTGGCCATTCCAGAAGTCACATGACGAGGGTGCCTTGTAAATGAAGATGTGGGGAGCACTGGATTGCCCATGTTTCTTGGCTTCTGGATGTGAGCGCCTCTCCTCAGCAAGCTCTCCATCATGGTCGAGCCCTTCTTGGGAACTTGGAAACTGGAATCCAGTGAAAACTTCCAGGAATTCTTGAAAGAACTGGGTGAGAAATACCATTGCAAGGTTTAGAATCTAGTCATACTCTTTTGGTGGGGCTGGGTTTGTACTTCACCATGAGTGTTATAATTCTCTCTTTCGTTTGTGATCCTAAGGTATGTTCACTTGAGATTAACGAAGTTTATATAGCTACTTTTGCCTTTTCTATTATTAGCAATAATTGTCTCTTTTGGGACTACAGGACTCACATGTATTTCCTTATAGTCATCATCCATGTATTTAAGTCCATTTATTCTTTATGGAAATATTTCAAAATATTTTGGAAATAATCCCCTGATAGAGTGTCTCTTTAGCTTGATCATTTCATTAAGTAGCTTTTCCCAGCTTCAAATTTATGGACACTAATAACTATCTATAATTAAATTTACCAACTAAATTTGTTTCAGTTTGCTTTAAGTTATAAGTTAAAAGAGCAATAATAACAGTTTTCAATTGGTTAATTTTTAGAGTTCTGATACCTGTGGAAGATATTTCAAAACATTATTTTGAAGAGTTTCAAAATTTTTATTGGGAAAATGGAACGTCTTTCCTCATTAAATGTCTCACCACTGGCTATTTCTCAGAAGTGTAAACTCTACCCACTGATGCACTTTTATCCACATTGCATAAACATGTATAATAGTGGCTCCAGTCTATAGAAACTAAACTATTCTTTACTAATGCTAGAAGAACAGTAATTATTTACTATCTAATTTAGTAATTTTAAATAATTAAGATAAACCTCCTTTGCAATAACAAACTGTATATAAAAATAAAGAACTGCCGAAACTGGTTTGGCTCAGCGGTAGAGAGTCTGTCTGCGGACTGAAAGATCCCAGGTTCAATGCCGGTCAAGGGCATGTACCTTGGTTGTGGGCACATCCCCAGTAGGGGGTGTGCAAGAGGCAGCTGGTCAATGTTTCTCTCTCGCCGATGTTTCTAGCTCTCTATCTCTCTCCCTTCCTCTCTGAAAAAAATCAATATATATAAAAGAATTTTTTAACCTAATTTTTAAAACTTGGCTGAAGTAATCAATGCATCACATCATAAAAAGTCAATGTGTTCATAATGTAATCTTTGTTTCTCTTGCATACACAGTATTAACTTCTCAGGGACTAATAAGAAACACATTTCCCTATCTCTTCACGCATTCATAGACTCCTCTGCTTTGAGTTTAAATTTGGGGGCATCTAAGAAACTTGGGGCTTCTGGCAAGAGTAGCATTTGTGCTGATTGGGAGCTTGGATTAGACAGAGGCAAGAGAGCATACCGCTGAGCACCTACTATGTGCCACTTACCATCTAAGTCCTCCCACTTCATCTCCCACAAACTGTGAGGTAAGACCCATAGATGTGTGCAATTACCCATTGACTACTGAGATAATGAGCCCAGGCTGCGTGCTGGAGCCCGGTTGTAACAACTCACCCTGCCCTCCTCTGGACCACAGCCGGCATTGCTTCCTGGCAGTCGGACCTGTCTTGTCCTCCCACGGTCTGAATGTGAAATGAGTTTAATATCAACACTGGGTGCGGAGTCAGCTCTTCGATGCCTCCTGCAGGGGCCATGTATGATGATGGACGGTCCCAATCTAAACAGCAGGGCCAGCTTCTCAGCTGATTGGTCTGGTTTGCCACCTCCTCTTCCCTCGGCCAGACAGGTCTGAATCTGCATGTGAGACAGGAGCTTGGACTTAATGTCATGTTCTTTTAGCCAGTTTAGGCGCTTTGAAATTTGTATCTATAATAATAAAAGTATAATATGCTAATTAGACTGGATGACCTTCCAAATGACCTTCTGGAGACCTTCCGGATGAGGGCTGCAGTTGCAGTGGAGGGCTGAGCCCCTTGCACAAATTTTCGCGCCTCTAGTTTCTTGATATTTTTAAGAAAAATAGTGTATTAAAATTCTTTTTGTTGTTGTTTCCACTGTATTTATTACAATATAAAAAACTAGAGGCCTGGTGCACAAAATCCATGCATGGGGGCATGTGTCCCTCAGCCCAGCCTGCACCTTTTTCCAATCTGGGACCCCTCGAGGGATATCTGACTGCTCATTTACCTACCAGGATCAGGTCTAAACGGGAAGTTAGACATCCCTCTCGTGATCCAGGACTGCTGACTCCCAACTGCTCAACTGCCTGCCTTTCTGATTGCCCTTAATCATTTCTGCATGTCACCCTGATCACCCCCTAACCACTCCCCTGCCAGCCTGATTGATGCCTAACTCTTAGCCTGCCAGCTTATTTGCCCCTAACTGCCCTCCCCTACAGACCTGGTCACCCCCAATTTAACTCCTCTGCTGGCCTGGTCCCCCCTAACTGCCATTCCCTGCAGGCATGATTGCCCCCAACTGCCCTTTCTTGCTGGGCATCTTATGACGGCCACCTTGTGTCCATATAGGGGCATCCATCTTTGACCACATGGGATCACCCATGTTGTGTGTTGGAGTGATGGCCAATTTGCATAATGCTCTTTTATTATATAGAAAGGATTAGATAGGATAGAAACCTGGTGCATGGGTGGGTGCCAGCTGGTTTGCCCTGAAGAGTGTCCTGGATCAGGGTGGAGGTTCTCTTGGGGCATGGGGTGGCCTGGGTGAGGGGCCTGTGGTGGTTTGCAGGCCAGCCACACCCCCAGGGACCCAAGCAGAGGACCTGGTATCTGGGATTTATTTATCTTCTATAATTGAAACTTTATAGCCTTCAGTGGAATCCACAGCTAGCCAGGGTGTGTGGAAAGCTTGGCTTCCTTCATTTCCAAGGAAACCCAAGCCTCCTGCTCACTCCATGACTGCAACCATTTTTGTTGGGATTTATTTATCTTCTATAATTGAAACTTTGTAGCCTTGAGTGGAGGTCTGGACTGGCCAGAGTGTGTGGAAAGCTTGGCTTCCTCCATTGCCAGGAAAACCCAAGCCTCCTGCTTGCTCTGTGGCCACAGCCATCTTGGTTGGATTAATTTACAGACTTTCTCCTGATTGCCTGGTGGGCATGGCTTATGGGTGTAGTGGAGGTATGGTTGATTTGCATATTACCCTTTTATTAGGTAGGATTTAAAGAGAAAAAAATCATTTTCAGTTCTCCAACGGCTCTCACCCCCCTCTTGCCCACACAACTCCTGACCCATGTCCTCTGGGCCAGTTCAAGACCGAGCCATTTTCACAGAAAACAACCAGCGGCAGTAACACAGGGACAGCGGTGGGGAGAGGGCACAGGACTGTGCAGGTGGAGATCACAGAATTCACACGGAAGGCCTGTGGCCTCTCAGGACTGGACTAAGGAACACGGTTGTGGAGAAAGAGGGTAGGCCCACCAGAGGGTTCAGAGCACACCTCCTGGCCCATGTCAAACCCAGAAAAAGTGACACCAGAAGAGGTGGGGGCCAGGGAGGCAGTCTCGCAGGAAGTTGCCAGTGCTCCCTGGCTGGGGTGAGGAGAGCTGAGAGGGCACCGAGAGCCTCACTCGTTTTGGCAGAAACACTAGGGGGGAGCCACAGACATGTCCGGCCCCCCTGCAGGTCCCCCCAACGTAGCGATCCCAGGCCGTGGCGGCAGGGGCCGTGCTACTGATGGCAAAGCTGCGGGTCCAAGAGCAGGGATTCAGGAAGGACTCTGTCCCGTCACCCAAACTTGACCCCAAGTGGCAGGAGTTCCTCAGAGCAGCTACCAACATGGGGGGACCTCACACATGGAAGACTGGGAACAAGCAGCAGAGGGGGTGGGAGGACACTGCTCCAGGCTCAGGACTCGAGGGCAGCACTGGGCTGGTGGACAGACACACAGGAGGCGGCGCCCAGGCCCCTCCTGCCCCAGGCTGTGCTGAGGGAGAGGACCAGGAGGCAGTGAGGGAGCAGGGATGGGTCCTGAAGGCCAGGCTCCGGAGGCCGGATCAGCAGAGATGCTCGCCTCACCCCAGTGATGAAACAAGTCTGGACCCCCATGGGGAGGCTGCACCGGTGGGTGTGACTGACGGAGGGCGGGGGTGGAATGGTCTCACAGCAGCTGTCCGGGGCCACTGGAATGTGTGGCCGTGGTCCCCAGGGCGGCCTCCAGCCCAGCGGAAGGCAGGCTCACGGGAGGCACGCTGCCGCCTGGGTGTAGGGGGCACAGAGTCCTCATGCTGACAGTGGTTTTTCTGGACAAAGTGTCGCCAGAGTGGGGGTTAGATTTGTCTTCATAACCCGGGGGTCATCCTGGGGGGGCAGGTCTTCTTAGCAAGCAGCCAGCTCTGGAGCCTCCGAGGATGTCTCCGTTCTCTGTGGAGCCTCCATTGGGGGTGGGAGGTCTGGCCCGGGAAAGGGAGGGTCACACTGACCCCCCCACCGACCTTGTGGGCCAGACCTGGGGCCTCAGCCTCCCCAAACAGGCCTCTGCCCGGGGAGGAGGGGGAGAACAGCAGTGGTGGAGCCCTCAGGCCCCGTGCACCGGGCACCTCTGCCAGAGGGTGTGGCTGTGTCTGGCTCCTCCCGCTCAGTGTCCGGCGTGAGGAGCGCCCAGGTCGCAGGAGTTCCCTCATCGTCAGTGCAGCGTGGTCTCCTGTGCACACACAGACTCACAGCCTGTTGTCCACCTGCAGGTGGTGGCCATGGGGGCGGGGCTCCGTTTGGGGCTGACTTGGGTCCCAGGCTCTCCATGGGCCATGGGGGTGGGCCCAGAAGGTGGGTGGTCCTCCAGGCCACCAGTCGCCCTCGTCCCGGCCTCCTCCCGCTGGGGCCCCCAGGGCTGCAGCAGTGGCTGCGGCTGAGCCTGCTTCTCTGAAGTTCCTGAAGTGTGTTTCCATTTCACTCTGCTACACACCACACACCTGAGCTGGCATGAGCCTCTGACCGCTCAGGGACACCGCATCCTCCTCTCTGAAATGAGGGTCACAACACCCCCACCCCGCATCTGATCCCCTCAGAGGCCCGGTCCTTTTAGGATCAAAAAGGAAAGCTGGCTCCGGGTCACGCCCATCCAGCGGCGGGCCTGGAGAGCATGGGGAAATCCCCACACAGCCCCCCGACTTCCCGGGAGCCTGCACTCTTTTTAAAAAAAATATATATTTCATTGATTTTTTTACAGAGAGGAAGAGAGAGGGACAGAGAGTCAGAAACATCGATGAGAGAGAATCATTGATCAGCTGCCTCTTGCACATCCCTCAACTGGGGATGCGCCCGCAACCAAGGTACATGCCCTTGACCGAAATCGAACCTGCGACCTTTCAGTCCACAGGCCAACGCTCCATCCACTGAGCCAAACCGGTTTCGGTAGCCCGCACTCCTTTTACGTTGCTGCCAAGAATCGGTTGGCACTTCTTCCTAAACGCGGCTGCTGTGTCTGCCCCGCAGGAGTGCCCGTCACCATCCGGCCGCTGGCCGCCTCGGAGAAGCCCAGGATCTACATTAGCGCCCCCGGGGACAAGGTGAGCATCAGGACAGAGACCTCATTCAAGAACTTCGAGATCTCCTTCAGGCTGGGGGAGGAGTTTGATGAAACCACAGCCGACGGCCGGCACGTGAAGGTGAGACCCAAACGGTCCCCGTCCTTCCCATCAGGAAAAGCCCAGAAGGTGGATGGGCGAGGTTCATTCATATCCAATCTGATCAATTATCTTGTTGAGCTCATTAATGCTGCACATCTCCAAAGGCAACCTTTTTGCAAATTATCCTGATGGTTGACAGGGCCCAAACCTTACCCTGTTTTCACGATCTCTCTTTGCTGTCGGTGGGAAGGTGGTGCTGGTGGTTAAAGAGCAACCAAAGGCCTTGTGTGCATGCACATTAGCGTAACCAATGGACACAGACACAGGGCGGTGGGGGCTTGCCTGGTGTGGTAATAGCTGGGCCGTGGGTGGGCGGTCAGTCAGGGAAAAAGGAGACATATGTAAAACTTTAGATAAAATAAAAAATTAAAAGCATATAGCCCTGGCCAGTGTGCCCAGTGGGTAGAGCGTCAGTTCGAGAACTGAAGGGTCTCAGGTTCACTTCCCAGTCAAGGACAGGTACCTGGGTTGCAGTTCCATCTCAGGCCCTGGTCTGAGCACGTATGAGAGGAAACCAATCCATGCGTCTCTCTCACATGGATGTCTCTCTCTCTCTTTCTCCCTCCCACCCTCCTTCTTTCCCACCCTCCCTCCCTCCTGCTCTCCCATCCACTCTCTTAAACATATCCTCGGGTGAGAATTAATAAAAACATATAAGTAAAAAAATAAGAAGTTTAAAAGCACATAGTGGAAAACAATTCTCCACACACCACTGGGGACCGTCTGTCTGGTGGAGGAGGGCGCTCAGTGAACAATCTCTAGAGGCTCCCCTAGTGTGCTGGTATTAAGTTATAACAGAACTGAGGGGAGGAATTGGGAGGAAAAATTCCAAAATGGAAATTAAAGTGTCGTCTTGTGTCAGTGAGAGTGTAGTGAACTGCTGTTTCTGACCGATTCCTTTATCATTCACAGAGCGTCGTAAACTTAGACGGCGACTCACTGGTCCATGTCCAAAGGTGGCTTGGCAAGGAGGCAACAATCAGAAGACAAATCGTAGACAAGAAAATGGTGGCGGTGAGTTCCCTTTAGATGCTTCTGCTTGAAGCAGGCCTCCCGCGGGGCTCCTCTTGCTTCCCAGACTCCCGGGCTGGGGATAGGGCCACGGGTGCTTACCCTAACAGATTCCTCTTTGCTTTCAGAAACACACCATGAATAATGTTGTCAGCAGGCGAGTCTTCAAAAGGGTGTAAAGAAAGCCACCAGATCTGCGAATGCCCACTCACTAAGAAAACACAGGGGTTGAAGAGGATCTGCCTAGGGCCAGTGATTTTAAAAATTGCCGAGTGTAAATGCTCAATAAAAGCATCGGCGTAGGTGCGGTTTCAGAGCTGTGTCACATTGGGGTTGGGACATGGTGATAACTCGGTAGGGCAGGAAACTACCGGCCTGTGGTGTGATTGTAGGAGCACCAGCACCCTCTTTGTCCTCTGCCCCCTGCCCCCGGGCCCGCGATTCCCTCCAGGGTCCAGGTCCACGTAGGGTAAACTATCTGTCCAGTGGTGCTTTGTAGAGAGTCACGTGGCTTCAAAGGGGGGAACATTGTAGTTAAAGCCTGTTTTGGCTTCACAGATGCTGAGAACTAACATCACTGGCTTTTTATTTTTGCAGAAAGTTGGACCTGCTGAAAGTTAGGGTGGATATAGGTATGGATGGATAGATGGATGGACAAGAAAATAGGTAGATGACAAAATTTGAATTTCAGCCTTTTTCATCTCATGGCACACATAAACTAATTGTAAAATTTTACAGCACACTGATTATATATTTTTTGCTGATCTAACAAAAAAATAAGTATAATTTTTATTTATTCACACCAAAAGGCTATTGTTGTATTGGTTATTGTCATTTTTAATTTGAAATGCTAAGGGAAAAGAGGTCAGTGCCCCTGACTAAATAGTCAGGTATTGCATGTTTTAAAAATTCCTGTGGCACATCGGTTGAAAATTGCTGTTATTGAAAAACATTAAAAAACAATTATTGTCTTACTTACCCATAAACCCATTTAAACCCACTTAACCAGGCTGGTGCATCTGCTGCCACAGTTTACAACATGGTAGTCACAGAATGACATGTCATTACATGCCAGCCCTGAATTTCTAATTGTTCAGTAAGAAACTATTTGTTGAGCACTATCTGGTTTGGCTCAGTGGATAGAGCATCGGCCTGTGGTCAGGGGTTCTGGGTTCAATTCTGCTCAAAGGCACATACCTGGTTGTGGGATCAATCCCCAGTGGGAGGTGTGCAGGAGGAGGGCACTCTCATCATTGATGTTTCTCTCTCTCTTTCCTCTTGGAAATCAATAAAAATATATTACATAAATAAATAAATAATGAAATAATTGTTGGAGCTACACAAAGTCCCAATGGTTTTCCTAAGTACTCTCAGGGCTCAGAGCAAACCTATTAATACAGAAAAAATTAATGGGTAAAGCCTAGAAAACTGAGGCTGTTTGTAGTAATGGGAGGAGAAAAGGGAGAAAGAATTATATAAATACTAGAGGCCTAATGCATGAATAGTTATGCAAGAATGGGCTTCCTTTCCCTGGTTCCAGTACTGCCTTCGCTCTGGCCAAAGCCGCCTTTCTGCTCTGGCCTGCAGCTGCCTTTCTACCTTCCCATGCTTCCAGAGGCCCAGAGTGACTGGAATGGTGCGGAATGCCTGTGTCCGATGCAAGCGTCCCACCCCCTCTCCTAGTGTCTCAGCACCCGTGTATGCAAATTAACCTGCCATATTTGTTGGGTTAATTTGCGTGCTCATTCCTGATTGGCTGGTGGGCGTCATTAAGGTATTGTCAATTAGCATGATACTCTTTTATTAGGTAGATTGTGTGCACCTTAAATTTAAAAATAGACAATAGTTGATTAAAAATAAGTCTGGAGTCGTGTCCAATGTGTGCTAAAATGAAAAGTCCACATCATTTGTCATCTGAACTGGGTGAGAAGTGGTACCGGCCAGGAGCACTCTCGGTGATCACACCTGGGTAATAAGCATGACAGGAGCCATCCCAGGCAAACCAGGGTGGTCAGGGGGGATTGAAGGGCAATAATGCACAGGAAGACTGAGCAGGGCCGGGCCAGAGCTGAGCGCCTGGCCGGAGAGAAGGGAGGGCTCTCAGATGAACCCTGAAGACCTCTGAGCACACAGCCGTGCACCGCAGGGACCACTTGGTGGGGGCCACAACCCTGCTGACGTGAGCAGGAACAGCATCCCCACAGGACCTGTCCCTGCCCTCCCTTAAAGGCGCAGGTGTGTACAGATGTGAGCATGCTCACTCCCCAGGACTCACAGGGGCTTCTAGTCCCGCAGGTAGTGTTCTATGCATGACAGGACCAGGGACCAACGCCTCCGTAGTCAGAGCACAGGTGCCTTGGCAGCATCTCAGCAGGTGGAGATGTGATTTACAACCACCAGGGAGAATATTTTACTCTATAAAAGACTAGACACTGAGTCATTGAAATCTTTGGTGTTACAGAGGCATAACTACAAAAAGAAGTATAGAGTCCTGAAACTTCAAGACTTATTTCTCCTCTCATAAATGGGACAGCTTAGAGTACAACGAGCCCCAACAAGAAACAATACCCTGGTGCTGGGTGGTTAGCAGGGAAGCACAGCGCTCCAAGAAAATCCTTCATTCAGCGGGTCCTGACTCCGCCCCACTGCTGCCCATGCTTTCGGGAGCTGCTCACAGGCACTGGGTTAGACGGGAAGTTCCGACTGCCTTCTGATGTTGTCAGTAGCAGAGTCATCATGAAGCCCTACAGCCTTTAATCTTATTCTCAGTCAAATGTCTGTAAAAAATAAGTTTCTACTGAGACTCCTTAGTCTTCTACTGACTTTTTGTAAGATCAGCCTCTTGCCCTAGCCAGATTGGTTCAGTGGATAGAGTATTGGCCTGTGGACTGAAGAGTCCCAGGTTTGATTCTGGTCAAGGTCACATGCCAGGGTTGTGGGCTCAGTCACCAGTAGGGGACATGCAGAAGGCAGCCAAACAATGATTCTCTCTCATCATTGATGTTTCAATTTCTCTCTCCTTTCTTTCTGAAATCAATTAAAAAAAATTAGTCTCTTGGCATATCTGCCTTGCCTTCAAAAGTCATTACCTGTCTGTGACTAGTCACAGTAATCAATTGCATTAGATTTGTCATTATCTAAGTACAAGGAAATAATAAAATGTCATTTGTATAAAGTTGTATTGGAAATAAAACTATACATTAATAGTGAGTTGAGCAACAAAAAGCCATTATTTATTCACTTGCCAAAGAGTTTGAAAAAAGGAAGTGAGTGCAGGTTTTATAAGCCACACAGGAAAATACATTTTGTTTTAAAAAATGTTTGTTAAACAATAAAGAACTTAAAAATTTTTTGTTCTGAATAATTTTAAATACAGACTGATGCTTGTAGAAAAACATAAATGATACCAAAATCAATCATAATAAAACCATGGTTAATAGTAGTATTAGAGAACTAGAGGCCTACTGCATGAAATTCGTGCATGGGGAGGGGGTGTCTTCAGTCCAGCCTGCACCCTCTCCAATCTGGGACCCCTTGGGGGATGTCTGACTGCCTCTTGCAATCCGGGACCACTGGCTCCTAACTGCTCACCTACCTGCCTGCCTGATCATCCCTCACCCCTCTGCCTGCCTGCCTGATCATCCCTAACTGCTCCCCTGTTGGCCTGATTGCCCCTAACTGCCTCTCCCTCGCCCCACACCTGGGACCCAGGATTCGCTCCTCTGGCCAGCTGCAGGCACCCAGGACCTGGGCTGGCTTTGCCTGGGCTGGCTACAGCTCAGGGGACCGAGGGTGGGCAGCTTTGCCTGGGCCTCAGGTGCAGGCACCTGGGACTGTGGGGTGGGCGGTTTGTCTCTCTCCTGGGCCACAGGCACCCAGGTCCGCGGGGACCATGGAGCATGCAGATGTCCCTCTCCGGGGCTACAGGCACAGGCGCAGCTGCTGGTGTGTGGCTTGTCCTACTTCCAGGCTGCAGCCTGGCTTGTCCCCATTCCTCTCTCCCCAATGTCAGGTGTCTGAGCCGTTTCAGCATGAGGGCGTGAGGGCATGATGATGTGAGGGTGTGATGACCATTTGCATATTAGCTCTTTATTATATAGGATGATTAACTGGATTTCTTTTCTTTCTTTCTTTCTTTTTTTTTTTTTTTTTTTTTTTGGTATCCAGTATTTAGTAACTCACTGACAAAAATAATTTTTGAATATACTTAGTGAATTTAATTTTCCTACTATTACACAAACATTTAATAAACACAAATGGACATACTTTTTTTTTCACTGGCCATAGAAAGAGAGCTGACTGACTATTCAAAAGTTAATAACCAAAAATTGATAGAAAATTAGGATAAAGTGTTAGGGCATAACCTAATCCCCAGATTATAGGTTCTGAAGGTTTCTTTTTGAACGTTTAGTGGGAAATATCATCTGTCCACTTTGACATTTGGTATCTGGATGCTGTGTGGTTTGGGAGGGGCAAGGAGGGGAGGGACCACTTACCCAGCAGCCCTGGACACACAGAGTCCATTGTCACCCAGAGCCCCCCGGGTGAAGTAGGGGATGGACCAGAGTCCTCCTGCCAGCGACAGCTGTGTGAGCACGAAATGAGCTGCTCAACCACCGAACTTCCCCTTGGCAAATGGAGAGCGGGTCACAGCGCTGCGGGGAGGGTTAAAGACCCCGTGCAATGGACCAGCACAGGAAAGCTCTTATGATTTTCTTCTTTTTGAAATCCTCATTCAAGGATATGGTTTTTTTATTGATTTTTTTTTTTTTTGAGAGAGAGAGAAGAGAGAAACATTGATGTACCAGAGAAATATTGGCCAGTTGCCTCCCACATGTGCCCCAACCACAGATCAAACCAGCAGCCTAGGTTAAACAACCACCTGATTGCAATGGCGAGGGCACCGCTGTGGCACTGGGGACCTGAGCCCTGGGGCCAGCAGTTCTGTCACGAGCAAGTGGATCACCGAGGCCTGATGGCTGTGAGGAGTGCCAGCCCAATACACACACGTACCGGCTGCCTCACAGGCAGGAGGAGAGCCAGGGCGAAAAGCTGCCAGGAAAAGGCGTGCAGCAATGAGGCATCATTCCCAAGAGCAACACTCCAATTTGAGGGGGTTTGACATTTATCCCCCTGATCAAACACTGGGGCTCTGAAGACTGTGGGAGCCTGGGGGCTT